TCAGGCGCTCTCTCTTCTTCCGGGAGCCCATGATCACGCTATCTGCAACATGGAGGATAATGAACCATTGGCCTCAGCTGCAGCAAAGGGGCGTTCGTCGGCCCCACATCTCAATTACCTGCTGAGGAAGATAAGTGCACTTTCAGTGGCAACAGGCATCAAGCTATACCTACCCTGGGTGGACACCGCGCACCAGACAGCTGATGAGTTGTCAAGGAGGAAGCGGAGTGGCTTGGTGCGCTCGGCGAGTCGGACCTCGTCGAGTCGACCCTGACCAAGCCGCGCGTGTGACTGAGAAGACTTTAGAAGTATATCGCAGCGCTGGGCTTCGGTTTTCGACTTGGGCCCTTCAGCGCGGCCTGCGTCCCAGCGGTGCTGACGAATGGGACGACCTTCTAGTTGAGTTCAAAAATGATCAGATTGAGAACCTCACTCCAGCGAAATTCGTGAATACAGTTGCAGCAGTTGAGTTTTTCTTCCCTCGCATGCGGGGGAAACTTCTGTGGAGCAAGGCTGTCATTGCAGGCTGGGAAAGAAATGTGGGGCGCAAACATACCGTGCCTCTCGGGAAGTTGCCTGGTAAGCTCCTCGGGGTTCACATGGCCGCCAGGGGGAACCCGCGTCTGGGCCTTGCTCTCATCGTGCAGTGCCATACGGGCTTACGGCCTTCGGAGCTCTTGGGAATACTGCCGGAGGATCTCATCTTCCCTCGCGATCTGGGCGAGAACATCAACATCGCCTCGGTCTCTATCGCTCTTGGGGCTCGTACGGGGACAAAGCTCAAGAGGCCCCAGGTGGCGCGCATATTCCAGGAGGACCGGGACATCATGGAGGTGCTTGAGGACATCACAAGGGCCACCCCGGCTGGGACTCCGCTCTTCCCCTACAGCTTAGCCCAGTATCGTAAGGCTCTCAAGGACACCGAGGGCTCGCTGGGTCTATCAATGGGGTGGGGGCCTCACAGCCCCAGAGCAGGATGGGCAAGTGACTCAAGGGCCGATGGGGCTCTCGTTCGAAGAAGTTCGGGAGAGGGGAAGGTGGATTTCAGATGGGAGTTTGCGCATTTATCTCGACATCGTCGGTGCGAGCCACATCCTCACCCAGCTAAACACGAAGGGCTTTGCGCAGCAGCTGTGCTGGCTCAAGAGAGGGTGGCGCCAGTACTTTCCTGCGTTCGTCTGGGGGGCGCACCTCCTACCAGGACATGGCGCCCAAGGGCTTCATCAGAGACAAGAACACTGGAGGGTGGATCAAAGGCCCAGACTTGACGGAGGAGAACGTGCCACCGCTGCCGAGCCCGCCTGGGACACCGTCCAGTTGGGTGTAGTGCGTCAGTGCGCCGCCGTCGGGGGCCACGTCTCGGACGGCATCGCCGGGGGCAGTATCGCTAGTGCTCGCTCCGCCCAAGGCCAAGAGCCCGGGTACGCTGCCGCCAGCCACGGTGCTCGCGGTCCCACCTCCGGAGGCAGCGGGCCATCCGCTGGCGGGAAGGCTGCAGTTCTACGCGCAGGCGCCGTTCAAGTCACAGCAGACCAGAGTTCAAAAGGGAAGCTTCCTCAAGTCGGCTGTTGGCTACAGTAAGGTGCTCAAGATTCTCTGCGGCCCGTGTTTCGTGCCTGCCATCATCCTCACGGTGCTCGTCGTCAGTTTCCCGTCGAGCATCTTCCCTAACATGTCCAGGGGTGCCGAGGCTGCGGCGTCCCTGGTGGAGGATGTGGCAGGCGCCGGAGGGGCTGTGGCGCTCGCGGCCCGAAACTTGACGTTGGCCGTGAGTGGTGTTGCGCTCTCAGTTGCAAGGAATTCGGCTACGTTCGTGGATGAAGCGTGGTCGGGGATCGATCTGCTGGGATGCCGCCTGAATGTCACAGGCGGCCGCTTCGTCGTTGACATCGGTGCACGCCCTCGCCCTAGTATGATGAGGGAGCTCGAGCGGGGGTTGGCTGTGGTACCTGATGATCTGGCAGTGGAGTTGTGGGGTTCCATCAATGCTATCTCTGTCAGGGCGCCAGTGGCGGCGCGACTCTCCTCTCAGTTCAACTTTACGGAGAGCTTCTTCATATGGGATTGGGAGGTGCTTTTGGTAGATGAAGAGGTGCTGGCAGTACGATATTATTTCGCACGATTGGGATTTGAACTTCAGTGGGCCAATCCGTTGTGGGCCTTAACAGGGGCCGATCCAGGAAGTGAGCTGGAGCGCATCACGACCAGGGTCAAAGATGCGATCGAGTCGGCAGTTGATGCCTCAGTGCTGCGGACCCCTCTGACCGCGCACGAGGTGCTCCAGCTTCCCACCACACGCCCTCCCCTTTGGTTCCGCCTCGGCCGGTGGGCCCACACTCAGCTCGATTGGCTGTGGTACGCAAGCGGAGTTTGGCTCTGAGTTTCCATGGTGACAAAGCCATATGAGAGGTCAGGTCGGATACCGGGGTTTGGCATTATCTCAGAGCTTGCATTCAGTATACGGTTTGGAGTTCAGTCTTCCCTTGATGAATCGGATGAG